CCTATTGGAGCGGAGGGGGCACAGCCAGGCACCAGAGCCCTCTGGAGGCTTGGGGTTTAAATCTACAGCTGGGGTGAGGGGTGGGGAAAAAGACCTTTCTCTGAAGCATGCATGTATTTGAACACAGCAATTTGCCACCTCAAGCACACAACAAAGAACAACCAAAAACCTTTGCCTAAGCTAAGGTACAGCTCAGTAAAACACAGTGAGAGCAAACACAACTTAGTCTAACTTAAAATGTAATAGACCAAAAAAATGAGACAGCCTTGCGTAAATCTTACATAATCCTGAAGGCAGAGTATCTCCTTAAAGCCAGGTATTCAGAAGGCCTTTGTTTAGAGATTCCCACCTTTTACAGATTCTGCTTCATAATGTAAATGTAGCTCTCTGCATTCTTTGGTTAAGCTGTATGTGATCCTGAAGCTGTCTGGGACCCCCTCCTGTTCCCTTAGCTCCAGCTCCAGCACATACATGTGGTGATTGTGCCAGGTCTTTGCCAACACTTACCTCTGCCTCATCCTGCAAGGCTTGGTGTCAGCACACTGAGCTGGGGAAGGTGGGATTAAGGTCCATCCCAGAACCCAGGTCGGGGTTTGCTTGAGGGGAACAGTTCCTGTCAAGCTGGTGCCTGCTTGAGACCCATGCCCTGCTTGAGCAGAGAAGGTGGGAACAGCACACTGAGCTGGGGAAAGGGGGATTAAAACTCCTCCCAGACCCCAGCAGGGGTTTGCTGGGGGTGGGGGCAGACCCTCTCAGGCTATTGCCCTGCCCTAATCCCCCATCCCCTCTACTCTAGGGGGAAAGGTCTGTCAGGGGTTACCTCCCCCCCCCCAAATTCCCCAGCAGACCATCTGCAGTCCCCAGCCAGGCTTCCCACCCCCACCCCCTTTGCAGCCTAAGCAAGGGCTGGCTGATGAGCAGAGGGCAGGGCCATCCCTGCTCTCTGGAGCAGACAGCACAGCCCAACCCAGACCAGGGCTAAAGGCATGCAGGGATGCTGGGAGTTGCATAAACCAGTTTTACCCAAATTAATTAAGTCTGATACTACATTCAACCAGGTTTATCTTAAACCAGTTTTGGTCACTTTGAAACTAGCTTATGTGCACTGAACTTTTGTTCTGTTACAGGCTTAAACCAGTTTTTGATCACTTAAACTGGTTTATATATAACTTCTGTCCCTAACCTAAAGGAGGGACCATAAGGTTAACATAGCACTATGGCTGAAGTTAGAAGTTACAATTTTCTGCAATTGGGATAACAATTGAGTAACTGAAAGCTCAGGTTTACAAATCAGTTTCTCAGTTTGTTAGTTTTCAGTAGCATGCCCACAATAAAAATATTTTCCTTTTGAATGTGAGTGGACTTATTTCCTCAGGATTTAAGTTGGCAAACTGTTTATTTACAAACACTATAGCTCAATTTAAACCACAGCTGGATCCAAGTGAGTCCAGCTAAGGCTGAAAAAAATATAAGTAAATGAACAAGCCACGTTTCCTGTACCTGCAGAATAATTGCTGTTTCACTTCATTCTGGTAATTGTACCTCAGCTTCTTACCTGCTCTTGTTATTTCACCAGACTTGGAAGCAAATTCTTATAATTTAAAACAATGCTAGAAAATGATAAACTAAGTTTTAAACATCTTTTAGAAAGCTTGGGCATCCCTGTAGTTCCTATTATAATAGAAATTGTAATAGAACTTTTAGCTGAAAACTGTAAATTTGCAGTTAAGTGCATGCCAGGAATTGAGAGCCTGGTTGACTACTGCTTTGTATTTTACACAGTACTTTCTATCAGTAGAAAGCAAACTAAAAGTTCTCGCACATTCCCAGTGGCTTATTCATTAAATTTGTTTGGTGCTGGTATAAACAAAGGCATTAGGAGCAGGAAAGCAGTGAATCTGACTTAGTGTCTCCAGAAGTGAGGAGGTCACCAGGAACAACTCAAGATCAGGGTACGTGTGGGCCAGATCCAGCACACAGCACTGTGTCGTTTGGCCTAGGGGGGCTCCCCACGTGCCTGGAAATTTGGTAGTGGGGGAGCAGTGCCACCACTCCCATGCTGCCAGATTTCTACATTTGTGCAGAGCCCTGGGCCCTGCATGTTGGATTGGGTTGCCTGATCCTAGCATGAAGGGCCAGGCAGATTTGGTGCTGAACACCAGGGGCCAAGCCCAGAGCGGCTGGCACCAGGTGCCTGAAGTCCAATCCCAGCACATGAGGACAGAAGGAGATGATGCTGAGACTGTGGAATCCAATCTTGGCGTGCAAGGGCAGGAGGGGGTGGTGACAGACCTGCTGGGGCCTAGTCCCAGCACATGGGCCAGGGAGGGGGTGGTGCCAGGCCTCAGCCTGATCTTGGTGCACAGGGCTTCATCTGGGCAGAACACTAGCTCCAAGCCACTCACCTGCCCAGTGGGGCAAAAAAGGTGGGAAACATTGCTCAAGATCAAAACATAGATCTTTGCATACTAGCTTTCAGAGTTGCAACTCCGGTTATTGCACCACCATATCCTGGAAATTATGTGTTTAGTTCTAGATTAGGTATTTCATTTTTGATCTATGCATTTCTCATCTAAACTGATGGTTATAGCATGCTGGACACTTACTTCAGTTGTGTAAGCCTTCTCCCAGGTCCTTTGCAGCACACTGAGCTCAGTTGGAGCTGCCCTGGGCTGGCAGGCTGACCCCAAGGGTGCTGCGACCTGGCTCAACATGCTGCAGTCCAGGCACATGTGTAAAATGTGAACTTGGGAGCTTCCCAGAAGCAACAAACTGTGGAGCAATAAGCTTGCAGTTCATTTCTGGGTGTTAATGGCATGTGTAGACATGCCCAATGTGTCCTACTTCATTTCTAACACCGACTTTTTAACAACAATACATAAGTTTGCTTGTGAAGCAGACTTCCCTAAATGCTTACATCTGTATCAAGTGCTGATGAGGCAAGGAAGCTATTTGCAAGGAGAGATCTGGAAAACAGACCACACTCACTGTCTGACATTGTTTAATGGAAATCAAGTTTGTTATTCATGCTGTCTAAAACTTATTCCCTTGTGGGTTTTGATCACATGTTATTCTGTTTCGGTACACCTGGTTCTACATCTGTGAGTTTCACTTTATGACATGTATTTGCTTGAACTCAGAGCACTGAAGGTTGAAATTCTAAACCAAACCTCATGCAGTTTGTTCAACTCTGGACATAGAATCCGGCTTAGTGAAGATTCATTTGACCTTAAAGACTTACCACATGGTTACGTATTGCATATGCAGACTCAATCTGGGAAATTCATGTCCATTCAGTGACGGTAGAAAGTATAGCTCTGAATTGCAACAAAGTTTTTTTTCTGGCCTACAAAATGACCTTCACATTAAACTTACCTAGCTTAATTTCTATAACCCAGCTCAAACCATGAGAAACTCTATTGATTTACGATTTCACCACCAAATTTGCACCTCCCTGTGGGGCTGCAGCAGACAACTTGGGCCAAGGCTATTTTGGGAGGTGAAAAGCATCCTGGGATGCTGGGGGGGGACTGTGAGTTAACTTGAATGTGGAGGGGATCTGGGGCAAAAATTCAATAAACCAATTTAACCTAAATCAGTTAAGTCTGATGTTACACCCATCCAGGTTTATCGTAAACCAGCTTCAGCCATTTTGAAAGCAGTTTATGTGCTATGAAGTTCTGTTGCATTACAGATTTGAACTGGTTTGTGGGTAATTTCTGTCATGAATGACTGGTGCCTCCTGAGACCGTGGGGTACCATTTATAGTTGGTGGCAAGTGGGGACCGCCTGCAGATGCTGGCGGGAGTGTCGGGGGTGGTGAGTGGGGACTGCCCACAGATGCCAGTGGGGGGAGGGGCAGGAGGCAAGCGGGGACTGTCCACAGATGCCAGCAGCAGTGTTGGTGGGGGGGAGAGGCGAGTAGTGAGTGGGGACTGCCTGCAGACACCAGCAACAGCATTGGCGTGGGGCGGGGGGGCGAGCAACTGCCTGCAGAAGCTGGCAACAGTGGCGGCTAATCTTGGAGGGGCACGTGCCCCCACCCTACACATTGCCTATGATTTCTGTCCCTAGCCAAAAAGATTCGTTTTGTTGTGTGATTAAAGTACTATATTCATTTGAACTTAAGAGGGAACTACATTTTTTTTCTCTCAATTTTAGTTTTTTTAAAAAGAACATAAAAAGATACATTTATAAGAATGCAATCCCTCTGGTGCAAACATGAGCTACCAGTTTTATTAAAAAAAAAAAAAAACAACCCCCCCCCACAAAAAAACACAAAAGAAAAACCAGCAAACCCTTAAGTCATGTTCCTGGTTGTGCGGTCGCATCTTTTGTTGTGTTTCATGCATACATTTTTTAACTGTAATGTATTTTATTGGCAATTTATTTAGGTTTTTTTAACTTGAATTTAAGATGCAGGCTGTTTTTTAGGGCAAAAATTTGTTTTTTAAATAATGTGCCTAAAATCCAAAGGAATTAGGTGCATAATGACTTCCATTTTCTGTGCAGGGAATCTTTAAAAGCCTGTCTCCTTGCTAGAGGCTGGGCTGTGTTGGAATGGAAGATCAGAGGCTCTGACAAATTGAAACCTTATCTGTCATTGAGATGTAATGCTGGTTCTTTTATTGTTGCTTCTTTTTAATCTAAAATAAATCACCTATGTCAAAAGGACATGTTTTATTTTTCATGCATAGAAGCACACCATACCTTGCCTAAAGAGTTGTATTATTTTTCTCCCTGATTGTCTGCCCTTTTTTGTGAAAAGTTAATTCAGCATTACTTTGGAAACTGGATTATATTCTTTCAGTTGACTGGCATGGGCCTAAGAATAAGTAGGCAGACAGGAAATAACCTTGTAAGGTACCTTTGTTGTCAGGCTTTATTTGTTTTCCAGCTACAATGAAAACTGGCAGGCTGTTACTTTAAAAAAAAAAAAAAATGAAAAAACCCACATACACACAATCACAACTTTAATTTCCTCTTTGTTTTCTACACAGGAGAGTCCATTGGTCTCATTATGGACGAGCACAATGGCCCTGCAGAGAATTCCCTGCCAAGCCAAGGATGGCACCATGCCATTAAGTGTGGGTGGCTGAGGAAGCAAGGAGGTTTTGTTAAAACTTGGCGCACACGCTGGTTTGTTCTCAAGAGGGACCAGCTTTATTATTTCAAAGATGAAGATGAAACTAAGCCCTTGGTAAGTAAAAGGAAGGAAGATGGGAGGTGCAAGAGAATGCACAGAGCAGTGTCAGAATTTCATTCAAGAAACAGACTCCCACTGTGATTTCCCCCTAACCCCCAGTCTGTAGTGTCAATTACTTGTTTATTTTTTGTTTACTGCAGACATGGTAATTCAGGTGCTTGTCTTATTTAAACGAATATACAGCTCCCCTCAGCAGGATGCTTGGATCCTTAAGGCAGGAATCTTTAAAGCAGGGGTGTCTAACCTTTTTGAATGTGGGGCCAGATCATGAACTTCTTATCACTGAGTGGGCTGGTGAGCCATATTCAAAGACCTCACAGGAAGCGGTATCACATCAGGAAGTGGTCACATGACCTTTGACACCAATGAAGTTGCAAGAAGTGACAATGAAATGGGTCTGGAAATGTGGTTTAAAATCCAAAATAAAAACAATATAAAAGCAACAATGAAAGAATACCAAACACTTGATTAAATAAATGCTTAGGTTACAGCAGCAAGCTATTTTGGCATATTTCCCTTGTCGGCCTGGAAGCTTTGCAGGTAAAGGAGCCAGGCCTTGGGTGCTTCTTGGTGCCCTGGCCACATTTTGCCCAAACCTATCCTCCCAGACACACACTGCTTGGAAAGAAACAGGCTGGAATCAGGGGCTCAGCAGGCCATACCCAACCCCCTTCTGGCTGCCTTGGCCTGAGTTCCTCAGAGTTTTGCATCCTATTATTTTTAAAGGTGGAGGCGGCAGAGACCTCTCGCCCGTACCACACAAGGCATCTGAGACAGAAGGGTGCCCTTCTGCTGCCCTGGTGGCTGTGGACACTGCCTTGGAGGGGAAGGTGAAAGGTCAGGGATGCCCCTGTCTTCCCTGCATTGTTCTCTAGCCTCCTCCAGCTGAGCCCTCTCTAGTGCAACCTTGTATTACTTTTTATTTTTTACTTTTTGGGTCCCTATGCCCCCTAGGCCATGCCTGTACAGGCTGGGAGAGAGATGGCCTCCACCAGGGGTGCAGCTGCAAGGCAGCTGAGTTGGTCCAGGGCGGCCCTGTGTGAGCTGAGCTGTCTGCTCGGGGGGGCAGCTGGAGGGGTTTAGTTTTTCTCTTCCTGGATACAAGCCTGCCTCAGGTAGCCCTTGACCAGTGGCAGCTAGCAGGCTCCGGGGCTGTTAGCTGGAGCCCAGCTGCCTGGGCCTTTCAGTGGCACTCGGTGCTTTTGGTCTCATGGCTGCAAGGAGCAGTCAGGACTGGGAGCAGCCGGCAGGCCAGGGCAGGAACGCTGCAGTCCCAGGGCCCCCGGCCCCACCCACAGCAGCCAGCTCCTGCCCCAGGCTGAAGTGAGGCCGCTGGAGGAAGCGGCGGGGTCCTAACCAGGCTGTGCAGCGCCGGGCTCTTCCCCCCCGCCCCAGCTCTTCTCTAGCAACAGCAGCAGGTGCCGCAGCCGCTGCCCCACATACCAATGCCGGCACAGGGTGGCCCTTCCACAGCAAGGAGCCAGGTAACGCTGCTCTGCCCCCTGTGTACAGTGCGTCTGGGCCGGGCTCCTCCTGCCTCCCGCTCAGCCCGGCTCCAGCAACCGCGCAACCCCGGCATGGCCCTGAGGCGCCCCCAACTCCGCGCGGGGCCTTACCTGGTGCCTCTGTCCACCACGCATGCGGGCAGGGCACAGGCCATGCTGCAGCTCCTCCAGCTGTGCGCCATGGGCAAGGGGTGGAACCAGAGGAGAAGTTGCAGGTGCTGTCTCCAGCTCGTCCAGTCAGGCACGGCTGGGGGAGCCCCGTGCCACGCAGCCTTCGGGGCAGCGGCGGCGGGACCCAGCTCACGTGATGAGCCCGGCCCGGCGTGGGGTAAGCAGTTCCCCTCCTCTCGCTGCCGCCTGAGGATTACGGGTCGACCCTGCCCGCCTCGCCTTGCCTCACGGCTGCCCCGCCGCCACCGTGGAGCAGGCGCCAGGAATCTTCGCCTGTCCCGAGCGAGGGACTTTAGGCCAGAGAAAATGGCTTGGCGGGCTGCATGTTGGACAAGCCTGCTTTAAAGGAACACATTTAAAGGGCACTGACTGAATATCTTTTTTTTGTGATTTCTTAGTTGGTCTAATAAAAGGTGCCATCTCTGAACCAAGAGTTCTGAGTTTTGCATTTCTTTTTCTCTCAGACCAACACGGCTACCAAATAGATCTCAGTAGCAAATTCCTGCATTGCAGGGTTCAGTCAGAGGCACTCATTTGCAATAAGGGAGATAAGTAGACTTAAAGTGGTGGTACCTACTTTTTCTGATAGTTAAAGTAGTACGCTCATGGTATTCCCCAAACTTTCATCCTCTGAAGTTCAGAATCATAGGATGTCAATTTGCATATATAGCCATCCATAATGTATACGCTACTGTCTGGAATATGGTTCTGTATTTATAATTTACAATTTCTTTAATGATAATTTATTTTCCTATTATCTCTTTTATGGGTCTGTTTATGGCCATAAATCTCTAGCATGCCATAAAAAGAGTAAATAACTGTCTTACTCAAGCAACCCTGAGCATCTGTGATATTAAGTTATCCACTTGTAAGCTGTAGCCTTTTCTGATGACTTTTCTGAGGGTCTGAGCAATCTATAGCTCCCTTTGACTTCAGAAAAAGTTCTATGTGCTTGTCACACACCTGTGGATTATGTCTTACATTTCTAAACTTCCCTCATAAACATTTGCTCATATTTTTCAGACAGACATTATCTACTGCTTGGTATTATTAGTAAGTATACATTTGGGTTGATTTTCATACTGTTTTGTTCAGAGATTTAAAGATGAGTAGGGAACCGTAGTATAGGACAGTCACAGCCATATAATGCTACCAATAGTTTCTGTGTAACGGGATAGCTGGTAGTGACTTAGCCCAGGGGTTTTGAAAGGGTAAAAGATGATTGGAGGACTTGAGATTCCCTTTCCTCACCAATCAGACCCCAGAGACTCACCCTCCATGTCCCCTGATTGGCCCCTTGGGTCACCTGGAGTGGGATAAAAGGGGCAGCACAGCTGACTCAGGGGAGATCAGCGAGGGACTGGAGTTTCAAAGAGCTGGTGAAGAGCTGGGCCAGTGGGGCAGGAGCAGTTGCCCCAGAAGCACCTGAAGGAGTGGGACCTGTAGGCAGCACTGGGGCCCTCAGCAGCGTGGTGTGCGGCTGGCAGGAGAGGCTACCCAGTTCCAGCAAGGATCTAAGCAGCAACCTGAGAGGTTCCCAGCTCTGCTTTCAGCTCCTCCAATAAGAGGCCAGGTAGCTTGACATGAGGCCAGGGCTCCTGGACAGTCAAGATGCGTAGCAGCATTGCACAATACTAGTACTGGTAGCTGTGTGGTAGACTTTCTGCCTACCACGTGGGAAATCTGAGTTTAAGCCCCAGCTGCGTTGTCTTGAGGTGAGTGAACTACTAGGGAGAAATTCTTGTTGCAGTGGAAAGGGGCCATTGTGTTCTCCCTGTTTCTCCCCCTCCAGGTACCTAGGCCCTACATTCCTTGTCATTTGACATTTTGTATTTTGTGCCTTATTTTATATTTCACCAACCAGTATTGTTTGTTCTGCTGTTTGTGTTTTATATTTTGGTTACCCTGTCTTTGTCAACTAGATGAATATTTCTATGATTGTAAGTGTCTAACCTTTGTTGAATCCTGCCCCCTCGGGGCATTATAGTATCCCCTATACTCCCTGGTTTATACTGGTTAAGTTTCCAGTACAGTTCTCTCATTAAAAGGTATATGGTTAAGTCCCCATTGGTGGTCTCCCTCTGCTCTACAGGGGGAGGAGAGTCCCTTACACCTCCCACAGCCCTTGTGCACCTGTTTTGATCCCTTCAGTTGGAGAGGGGATACCTCTTGGAGTACCGCCCGGGTTACACCTGTATCGAACCCCAAACTTGCATTAGCCCAAGAGCATAATTTTTGGAAAAACATATCCATTTTTAATTTAATTGTTCTAGAAGAGGTTTCCTGTTCTATAAGTCTCTGAAAAATTAAAGTTTGAATTAAGGGCCACAGCAATTTTCTTCTTCCTTTCAATTTCCCTTATATTGCACTTTAAAAAAGTTGAATACAACAATGCACTTTCATTTAATGATCAGTAAATTAGTTATTTCATAGTCATAAAATATTATTTTAAAAATCCTGTTTACAACTGCTCTGCATTTGTAGAACTACAAAGCTAAGTCTCTTATCTTTGCACATTTCCAGAAAGCAAGCAAGAATCTATGTATTTCACTGCAATCCAATGGTCATTTTCTCTAGTTACTTACCCTTGTGTTGTAGTATTCTTTGCTTTGTCGTGACTACATGCATTTCACTTTTGGAATAAAAATGTAAAACCAACTCTCAGGCCAATAGAATCTCCTAGTTTCTTTCTATTTGACCTATTTTGAGGAGCACTGAGCACCTCTTTTGGATCTGTGAACATACAGAATTTAAGAATTTTGAGGCTGAAAAAATTATTCCCAAGAGCCGTGCTAAATTAATTACTCCTGTGCTAAGTTATATTTATTACTTTGTCTTGAATAGCCCCAGGCTCCATTGCCACTGACTTTGCCAGTAAACCTTTTGTACTTTCAGCAGATGGCTGTGTTTATCAGGAAGCATTACAGTATAACTCCCTTTGCTTCAGGAAGAAATGAAAAAATTAAGGAGAGTCAGAATAACCACCATGATGATAAGAATTTGTTCAGGCCCAGAATTAGAAAACTCATACCAGACTCTTGATTACAATGCTAGCTGGCTGGCTAAAGCCATGTAGCAGCAGCCAGGATACCCCAGCTAGTGCTAAATTAATTAATTTGGGTAGTGTACATAGCACATGTGCATTAGCATGAGAGTCAGTGGGCTGCTTTGGAAATGCGGCTGTACTGCTTCCAGTACCTGAGCATTAAGGTATCTCTCTACATGGCACTAGATGGGTTCAGTCCACATTTACCCTTTCACAGATGTTCACCACTATTAGCACCCAACACTTAATCTGAGACTTGAAAGACTCCAGTTTACCTCTGTGTTGCACCCTAGATTCCCTGCATGACTTTGAGCAAATTACTTAGTATAGCTGTGCATTTATTTAATGAGAATGACAGTTATGTTCATGGGCAGATCCAAGATGTTGTGAAGCATGGTAAAGGAACAGGGACCAGCAGTGCAGGAGTTGTTGCACAGCCACTTCCAGCTCCTGCCTACCCCAGGTGGGCAGACTGTTCTTAAGTTCCCAGGTCAGGTCAGGATCCTGTCTGTGTAAGACTCCTGTGCTGCAACCTGGGTCAGCTCTGTACAGCTCGGATACCAAGAGCTGCAGGGCAGGAAAATAAGTGCAGCTGATCCAGTTACAATAATCAAGGCCAGTTGACCCCCAGCACCTTCCCTTTGGTCCTGGAGCTGCTTTTAAGGAACTCCTCCGGCACCTGAGCCTTGCTGCACAACACATGGGTCTTCAGTCTCTAAGCAGTTTTGGTCCTAGCAACATCTCTTGCTCCCCTGGTTCCTGCCTCTGCTTTTGGCTTGCAGTCTGGGTGTGGGTTTTCCTGGCTCCTGACTCTGATTTGTCTTGCTCTTTGACTTCATCTTGTGGATTATCCTTCAGATTTGGTAACTAGGTTTCTTATTTCTGGTTTCTGCCCCTGGCTTCGCATTTGGCTCCTGACTTGTGGCTTCTGACCCCTACCCCTGCAATCTCTAGTTCCATGCTGATTCTACCCACAAGGCAAGCTGGTCTGGTGGACCATGACAGTCTGCTTCCCTTTCACCCCTGTGACTCTCAGCATCCTTTCTTTTCCCTTCTGTCCTCAGTAGCACATCCCTTCCCTTAACATTCATCCCCTCCCCCACATGCTGCTGCCCCTCTTCCTGCTGTCCCTGGCTAAAGATGGGAGAGGGTTGTTCAAAGCTCCTCCTCCCCTGCTTGTAGCCAAGTAGTGGTGACAGCAGGCAGGTCCTCCTTAATCTTTCTGGTCCTTCCAGGTATTTCTTGCCAGCCTGGGAGCAAGCATGGGGTGGGTGAACCTGCCTACTGCTGCCACCACAGGTGTCCCCTGCTGAATCCAGCTGGGGAGGCTATTGAGCCCTTCCTCCTCACCACCCCCACAATCTTCCCACACCACAACTCTTCATTCCACTGGGGGCTCCAGGACTGCTGCACCTAGGAAGGAAAAATGTCCAGCATACCTACTGCCTAGGAAATGACCTGCTGGGGGGCACGGAAGCGGAAAGGGATCTTGGAGTCCTAGTGGACTCCAAGATGAACATGAGTTGGCAGTGTGATGAAGCCATCAGAAAAGCTAATGGCATTTTATCGTGCATCAGCAGATGCATAACGAATAGATCCAAAGAGGTGATACTTCCCCTCTATCTGGCACTGGTCAGACCACAGTTGGAGTACTGCGTGCAATTCTGGGCACCGCACTTCAAGAGGGATGCGGATAACCTGGAGAGGGTCCAGAGAAGGGCCACTCATATGGTTAAGGGGTTGCAGGACAAGCCCCATGAGGAGAGACTGGGGCACCTGGACCTTTTCAGCCTCCGCAAGAGAAGGTTGAGAGGCGACCTTGTGGCTGCCTATAAGTTCATCACAGGGGCACAGAAGCGAATTGGTGAGGTTTTATTCACCATGGCGCCCCCAGGGGTAACAAGAAATAATGGCCACAAGCTAGCAGAGAGCAGATTTAGACTGGACATTAGGAAGAACTTCTTCACAGTTAGAGTGGCCAAGGTCTGGAACGAGCTCCCAAGGGAGGTGGTGCTCTCCCCTACCCTGGGGGTCTTCAAGAGGAGGTTGGATATGCATATAGCTGGGGTCATCTAGACCCAGCACTCTTTCCTGCCTATGCAGGTGGTCGGACTCGATGATCTATTGAGGTCCCTTCCGACCCTAACATCTATGAATCTATGACTGCTTTAGTTGAGCTCAGCGGGGGACAGTAGTGTCAGTGGCAGCAATTGAGTTCACCCACTGTGTGCTTGCTCTGCCAGGGCATCCCAGATTGCAATAATATGATTCATTGTACCCTCCCATGTAAATTGGTTCCCCGATGAATGAGAGTGATTGGGAATGATTGAAATACAATGGAAAT